GATCCACCGTTGTCGCCGCCAAGGAGGGGTCTAGGAACAGCCCGCCCGCGTCGCGCGCCGCCGACCACAGCCAAGAAGGGGGCCCAACTATACCTCGGAGCCCGCACGCGCCACCACTACCTACCGCCACGCCACCAGCACCACTACCCCTGTTGCACCCAGACGCGCCGCCGGAAGAGGCGCCGGAGCCAGATCTGGACGGATCTGACCGAAGCCCACCCGCACGCACCACCTGAATGGCCGGCCGACACCGGGGGCGCAGCCAGCCACCACGCTGCCTGCCACGCCGGCGGCACGGAGGCGCACCCAGCCGCGTCCGCTGGTTGACGCCGAGATGCCCGACGCCCGCATCCCGTCCTGGCCCAGAGGAAACGGCCCGCGCCCGCCCTACCGCGCAGACGACGCGAGGAGCCCCACCGCCGCTGACGCTGACCGAACCCCTGGCGGCTGCGAGGGAGGTGGAGGGAGGGGAGGGGGGTGGCGGCGGGGATTAGGGTGGCCTCCCGGTCGCCGCGCGGGGGCGGCGCAGGAGGGAGGGAGGGAGAGCTTTTCCTTATATCATGTTTTATTCAGACACTACACTATTCGACAATCTTTCCACGGGATGTCTTATGGCAATCCATTTCTTAATTGGTTCCGTACATATAGAGGCTTTTTTAGAATATTGGCAGGATAACTACCAATTTCGTTAATTAGAAAGAGGTATTATAAGAACACATTCAAAGGGGAAATGCACCGCATAAAAGTGAGTGCTAGAAAGAAGAAATGAGAAAAAAAAAGCTGCTCGGTTTATCGAGGAAAAACAGGCTAAAGCCAAAGCAAGCCCCTAGCTAGACTAGGACAAAAGCACCACGACATATACAAAACACGGGAAAGCCAAAACCCTACACCACACCCAGGTGGGCACTCGAGCACCTTCACTGCTACCTTAGTGCACACTGAACAATTGGCGTATTGTACCAGGCTGCTATGAGTATATCCGCAAACATCGAGGACACCGGAGAGTAACGATACATCCGAAAGAGCGAGACATTTGCCGCCCGATCCCACGAGGCTAGCTGACATAGCTCGCATGGCACTACTCGTATACAAAGAGTGTTCCTGCTGCTCTCAACGTTGTCCGACGATCAACTCCAAACAGATGCACCACCAATACTCCATGCTCACCAAAATGCTACCCGCTTCAGATCCACCACACCACCACTAACCAGGTGCTCCGAACACCAAACTTGACTCGAAGACAATGCTTCCAACAAAGTAATGACGCCAAAGACGCCACCATTGCACATGGTTTTCACCAGGAGACAAGAACATGGAGTAGGGAGAAGTGTCGGGCCCCCTCGATGGCACCTCCAACAAGGGAAATCGCACCCCAAGGCGTCATTTGCCATCAGCTCAAACCAGGGTCAGGGCATGACTTTCATTAGGGAACCGAGCACCTATGCAGTGACGACATCACCAAACACACCACTACCAGACCGGAGCAGCAGGTGCCACTTGCTGCATGGCACAAAACTAGCCGGAGCACCACCGGCGATGCAAGCCCAGAGCATCACGAAGGCACTTCCCAGACCACCATCCCGACAGGGAGCCACCACGCAGTCGCTTGGAATCAGTCGCCGGCCGAGCCACCTCCGAGCCTCCGGCCGCCATAGCGCGAGATCTGACCGGCAGAACCGTCAAATCCGGCCGCTCAAGCCAGAGGCTGCCAGCTAGGGGGGTGCGCGTCCCCAGCATCATCCCACAATGACGACGCGCGCGCTTGGGCCGCTCCAGGGCATCCCTGCTGCTGTCACCGCGCCAAACCCCTCCGTTGCGCAGCCAAGGGCGCACGCGCACCAGGCGCTGGACGGGCGCGCGGCCATGCACCTCCACCGCGCTGCCAGGAACGCAAATTGCGCTTATCCGGGCGCGTGGACCCCAGATCCCAAGCTCCAGCAAGCCCCCGCAGATCTCCATCGATGTGCCGTGAAGCTGCCTCTCTCGATGCACCGTAGTGGCAAGACCGCCGCCTTCCTCGGGGCCGGCCTGGACTTTGGTGCCGACGCTAGGGTCGGGGCTCCTCATCATTAGTTGTGGAGCTGCTTCTTTTCTTTTCCTCCCATCAAAGGCTTCTAGAAGCACGTTCAAACATGTGAAGGTCTACCTGAGTACTTTCCGTATGGACATCTTTCCTTTCCAGCGAATCCTCATGATAGCAATGAACCAAACACGCAATGCATCTCGTTGAACTGTCAATGCGCCGCTTTAACGCACGCACACCTGCTTTCGCGTCCAAGTGCATAAATACTAGCGTACGCATACAGCATCACAGCAGCAAAACACCACCTACTCGACAGGAAAACCATGGCCTCTACCGCGCTCTTCTTCGTCTTCCTCGCCCTGGCCACCATGCAGCCGCAGACCGCCTCGTCCGAGAAGGAGACGCACCTCAAGGTGTACTGGCACGACGTGGTGAGCGGACCGGACCCGACGTCGGTGCCGGTGGCGCAAGCGGCGACGACCAACACCTCCAAGACAGGCTTCGGCATGGTTGTGGTCATCGACGACCCGCTCACCGAGGGAGCCAGCCTCAACTCGTCCAGGCTCATGGGCCGTGCCCAGGGCACCTACATCGCCGCCGGCAAGGACCAGCTGGCGCTGCTGATGAACATGAACTTCGTCTTCACCGCCGGCAAGTACAACGGCAGCAGCATCGCCATTATGGGTCGCAACGCCGTGTTCACCAAGGTCCGTGAGATGGCTGTCATCGGCGGTACAGGCGTTTTCAGGTGGGCGCGTGGGTACGCGCAGGCCAGGACGCACACCTTCGACCTCAAGACGGGCGACGCCACAGTCGAGTACAACATATTCATCAGGCACTAGTCCCGGCCGTTGTCAAATTTTACCCAGAGTTAAATACCATGAATAAGGATTGTATGCTCTTGCTACTGTTTAACTTGGTTTCCCCCACCAAAAAAAAGAAAAAAAAAACTTGATTTCATCTATATCTATCTATCTATCTATCTATCTATCTATCTATCTATACCTCTATACCTCTACTAATTACAGACTCCCAAGAAATTATCACGTTAATTAGAAATTACCGGCCGTTCATCTGATGGGACCGAGTTATAACGGTGTAGATCTACTCATATAATCCTTGCAATCTAGGAAAAAGAAACAGTTTTGCTAGAACTCATCGAGATGAGATATAATTTGGTCTCATTCACCTTTTATAGCCATTGGATGTGATGCTATAAGATGCGTGTGTGCTGACGTGGGTTGTATCTCTTCTTGTTTTCAAAGTGAATGAGACCAAATTATATCTCATCTAGATGAGTTCTAGGTACTCCAAAAAAGAAAACTTAAAATAGCTGTAAAAACAATCTAGGTTACCCGAGTCATAACGGTGTAGATCTACCCATATAATCCTTGCAATCAAGGAAAAAGAAAACTTAAAGTAGTTGTAAAAAAACAATCCAGGTTACCCGTAGAAAAACAAATCTAGGCTAGCTGTAAGAAAAACCGGTCTATCGTTAGCTGTAAAAAAACCAATCTAGGTTACCCGTAGAAAAACAAATCTAGGCTAGCGATCCCGTCCCCAAAAATCCTCACGCTATAATTTTCTCCCTACACCTTCTCCTTCCCTTTCATCCTCCGATGTATTCTCTATCTCATCCACGAAGTCCACCTCCTATAGGTCTTGCCATGCTCCCTCACGACTTGCTGCGCTGGGACTATCAGGGCTGCAGCACCCAGCAGGAGGTTATCCCCATGCTTTCTCAGGTAGTCACAGCTACGGGGATTATCAGCGGCTACAAGCCTGAGCACAATAGCTACTACTCCCTCCGTTCGGAATTAATTGTCGCGAAAATGGATGTATCTAGACGTATTTTAGTTCTAGATACATCCATTTCCGAGACAAGTAATTCCGAACGGAGGGAGTACTTCGGAGGTGTTTGTAATCTGATTAAGAAATTACTGTTAAACCTCTCGTTCGTATAGATTTTTCTCTTATCCACGCACAAAGACACCGAGCACTGCACCCACACAGGTCTACATTGGCCTAGTACATCGAGAACATCTGCATCAACATCTCCACGGAGCAAAACCATTGTCATCAAGTTGTACTGCCATGTGCCGTTGACAAAAAATAATCTTCATCGAGCACATGGATCTATGATAAGCAACCCTGGCATGCACCATCCACACGCCAAGCTGGTGGAGAAAGAGATGTATTTTTTCATCAACTTCTCCGGTACGAAAGGACATTGACACTTCATGGACGGGAGGGACGTCTTGAAGCGATGCATCATCATTGACAGGCTGCTACAATGCCTTAGCCGACACTTCATTGCCAAGGTCTTCATCAATATCTTCGTTAACATACGGCCACCGCCACATACATAAGATGGACATCTCTAGAATCATCTAACAATATAACTGCAAGATGCATCCACGACGATGGAATCAGCCGCGTCATCTACCATGGCATGACTGCATTGACACAACGTCACTATTGACGACCCTTTTCACGGTCACACGGTCCTGGCAAAACTAATGGACTCGTCACCGACAAAACCCTCTGACTACAGCTTGGTCATATACAACATAGTGCATTTCTTTGCGTCTTCGGCATTGTGCAGCTACACCAACAACGACGACTACACCATTGACCATAACTAACCATGGCTGAATCATCATATCGGGCTACCTCGACATCGGCAGACAAAACTACTTCTACAGCTACACATTGGCAAAAACTCCCGTCAACAACATTTGCATCGTCACTAACGTTTACGTCACTCCCCCATGCTG